GCACCACTTTCCCAAATCCATTCCAATGCCTTCCTCCCTCCCTCTACAGAGACAACTGGAATTTGACGTTTATCATTCCTTTACACTCCCATGTCCATATGTTTTAATTGTTAAATCTTTAATTACCAATGAAGTCAAACTTTTTAATATACTATAGCTAATATTAAAGTGCTCAGATTCTAGAGTCAGGTGGAACTGTCTTTGAATTCCTGCTCTGCCACTAACTAACCATGTCTCCTGGGGCCTCTGTATGACTCAGTTGCCTCATTTATGAAATAGAGATAATAATAATTCATACTAATTTTTTTTTTTCTTTTGAGACAGGGTTTCTCTCCTGTCACTCAGCCTGGAGTGCGGTGGTGCACTCTCGGCTCACTACATCCGCCTCCCGGGCTCAAGCAATCCTCCTGCCTCAGCCTCTAGAGTAGCTGGGATTACAGGCATGTGCCACCATGCCCAGATAATTTTTGTATTTTTAGTAGAGATGGCGTTTCATCATGTTGGCCAGGCTGGTCTCGAACTCCTGACTTCAAGTGATCTGCCTACCTCAGCCTTCCAAGGTGTTGGGATTATAGGCGTGAGCTACTGTGCCTGGCCAATGCATACTATTCTTTATCACATTGTTATGAAGATGAAATGGAAAGTTGCATGTGAAATTCTTTGCACAGTGCTCACTTAGCATGCAATAATACCTTTTACCATTATTCTAGTTTTATTGTGTGAATTATTTGCCCCTTTTCTTAGCAAGATTAGATTACCTAAAACTTGTGAAGCACTTTTCCAACATGATCCTATTTATTCCTCACGATAGCTTTATGAGATAGTGCTGCAACAATCCTATTTGATCCCAATGATAAGCCAGCAGGGAGCAGAGCTGTATTGAAACCCAAGTTTCTGGTGCTGGCACCCCTTGCTTTGAACTTATTTGCTGCAGCTCCATCAACTTTAAAGTCATTTCGTGATACAACGTCATTGGTTTATGAGGTGGCTTTAGTACTATTCTTTAATACAGTCATTATAGACAGATCCTAGTTTCTCTCCGACTTATAATTGTCTTCCTTCTCTATTTTTTCCCTGAATATTCTATACAAAAATATTTTATTGTTCTATAAAACTAAATATACTCTTAAACTCAAAAAATAACATTACCACTAATAATATATTACATATACATTATTAGAGATTTAGATGTTATAGAGTTGGTATTACTTTTTTTTTTATTGTTTTGTAAAACAAAGTAAAGATCTTAGGCAATTCCTATATCCAGATTTCAATTTACTAATGCATTAGACCTAAACATTTTAATTAAAATAAACCTTAAGGATTCTGGATATTTATTAATAGTTA